TACACCCTGAAGTGGGTCATCTATGTGAGATAGTGTGAAATATACGTGAAGTGGGTCAAAAAACCTAATGTGAGTAATCTATTTTTTATTAGCAATATTTGAGAATTTTTGTCACGTATATTTTAACCATTTCTGATGAGCATTTTACTAAATATTTAGGAATTGATGGAATTACCAAAAAAAAAGCCAACACGAAAGTAAAACTATATTGTGTTTTCACTTTTTTAAATATATGTACAAATACACTGCATCGGCGAATCAGTTGTACTGAATTAGTACTGCTTTTCATATATTGAGTTGTAATATAGACAAAGTTACAGCAAACGTGTGTTTTAAGATGGGTGCATCAAATGAGGAAATCTTTTGCGATCATGCACAGCCTAACACAACAACTACAGCCTCCTTTATACAAATTCAGAAGTAAACTTGAAGGCAAAGTCGATGATTTACCTAAATGGATCATCCAGCCAGACAATTTTGTTTAAGATTTAACTTCCGTGTACGGTAAACACATGATGGATTTTTAAAGAGATCAATTATCATACTGAAAACTTTATGCGCATCACAGTGCTGAATAGTTAGGTTAGCTAAGCTGTTGATTCACTTTTGCATCGTGTGTAATTTCAGAATGCAAAAAAGATATTGTTGTTCTTTGGGACAATTATAATTTTGTTGGCCTTGACCCTAATGTGAAAAGATTTCTAAAGAAATTAATCAGAAATGAGAAGCTGGCCGCGAAGGAGCAAGGAACTTATCTTGGTTTCGTCACCCTCCAAAACGACAACAAACTAAGAGAATTATTGCAACTTGGGGATATTAGAAATAAAACAGAGCTGATAAAGTGGATTGAGGATTTTGAAAGCAGCAATGATTCCAGAAGCAATACGACCATCATAAAAAAGGTACACGGACTTAAAATTCATGTGAGTTGATTGTGAACTAGCCCTATATAAACGGTATATAGAACTACTCATTCTATTAACGATTTTTTTTCACATTCGCAATGGTTAGCCTTTTAACTATTTAATGACATGTTTTTAATACCAAATGGTGAGAGAAGATCGGAAGCCCACATTAAGGCAGCAAGACGGCGATTGGCTGAGCATCCGACAGGTACAAAACGGAATGATGATGGCCTACCATCCGCTACTTTTAATAGGATAACGAGACTAGATCTAAACATGCATCCTTACCGCATGCAGATCTGACACCAATTCCTTCCTCGAAACTATGCTCGGCGACTGCAGTTTGTGCGATGGCGGTGTGATCATTACGAGAGAAACGAGGATTTCTTTCGGCCATTCGTTATTGGAGATGAAGCATTTGCGATGAACAGCCAAGTAAACTCGCACAACGTTAGAGAGTATGCAGCAGCAGGACAACCGCCCGAGTTCAACTATGAGGTCAAAATATGTCGCGAAAAATTAACGGTTTGGATTGGACTTTGCGGCCCCGGCCGATAATTGGTCCATTTTTCTTTGAAAGAAATGTCACTTGACAAATTTTTCTCCAAATGATAAACAATGACGTTGTGCCACAACTCCAGCTACATTTTCCGGGGCAAATTGGAGGGGCATTCCTAAATCTCTGATGGGTGCAAGACGGTGCGCCAGCACATCGTTTAATTGCATTCCGCGATCCGCTAAGAGAACTGTTTGGTCATCGCGTGATTGCCCTCTACTATGACGTGGAATGGCCACCAAGATCCCCTGCATGACCTTACTCCTTGCGATTTCTTTCTTTGGGGTTACCTAAAGAGTAAAGTGTACACAAGCCCACCACATGATCGCGTTCAACATGAAGTTGTAGCGTTGCGAAATAATCCTCAGCTAATCAGGAGAACATTCCAAGCAATGCAGCGATGTCAACTTTGTATCGATAGAGATGGTGGTCACGTTGAAGGCACTAGCGCATAATCTCTTTAAAGAGTAAATTTAAATAATTTGCAATAAACATGTTGTAAAACCAGTGCAAGCTGTGACATGTTCGTGATTAATTGTTTTTTCTTTTGTTATGCATGCACTGTTTTAATCATGCTCAGAGGTGAAAAATATGTGATTATGACTAACATTTTTTATCAGCCACGTATGTGCTTATTTTTTTACTTTTGGTATTAAAAGCATGTCATTCGATAGTTAAAAGCCTTATCTTTCTGAATGTTTCGTTCATAAGAAATGTCGTTCATAGAATAGTTCACGTACAAAAACACGAAGTTGGATTACCTGGTTTTTTTTATACACCCTTTATAGATCTTTAAAAAAAGTTATGTAAATTTCGTTGCATGTGCGAATGTCTTCTGCTCATGGAAAAGTAAAGCGATATTCCGTCTGGTCCAAACATATGTAAACATTTAGGCTGTCAAGAAACGAAATGCTTCTAACTGGCCAACTGAAGTTTTTGACAATGTTGACAGAGCATCAATATAAAATAATTTATTCTATCCATCTTACTATATAAATTATAAACTGCGCAACCATTGTAATAGAGGGAGTATATTCCATTTTACCGCATACAAACTACTATAATTTTATATAATCCCAGATAATAAAATGATCCGAATGACAAATTATTTCTTTCCCATTTGAAGGCGCTAAAAAACAGCACTTGGAAAAACGACCGCCCTGGTGTGGACGACGTCATCCTGTTGTTATTATTGAGCAATAGGACTGACAACAACAATTTAGTAAAAAATCCAGCGAGGTTCGTTGATATCTTAACGAAAGCAAAAAATTCCACCATCGTAGGCATTGTTGGAAGCGAAAGCAATTTCCTCACATTTGACGTTAAAAGATCGTCGTCACCACATCCGATGTTTAAACAAATTATATCCGACAACTTAGACGAAGATGTGAATAAAATCGTTGATGCTATTTGTGCATATCCGGGTAAGTCTTAACTATTCATTAATTATAGAAAATTTATTTTAATTTAAATATGCAGCCTTGAGGGAAAATTGCACGAAAACTTTAGGTCTCTTTAGATCTCGAACAATTATCGAGGATATAGGATATAACTATCGAGGATATAGGACAATAATAAGATATTCTCTATAAAACTAAATGTAGAACTCTACAGAAAGACTGAGAAATGTAGTGAATACTGCCACATTAAGTTGGCAAATTTTGGGACGTTAGCTAAGGGGGAGAATTTAAAGCCAGTGCTTTTTACTTCTCCTGAGTTTCGAGCTGAAAGACTTGATGCCAAATTTTTAGCCGTATATGAAATTAAAGCAATTAAAAAGTTATCTTTCGTGTAGAAATTTCGAGGCTTTAGCTTAAAGGGTAATATCTAAAAAATATTTGAAAATTACCCGGTTTTTGCCGGTTGTTAATTGTTTTCCACACCAAATATAACTTTTCAATGGCTTTAATTTGACACACAGCCCAACGTGTGGCGTCAAATATTTCAGCTCATAACTCAGAAAAACTAGTTTGGCTTCAAGCTAACATAGGGATGTTTGTCAGGAGTTATCGCTCCAGTTGCATAGAGTTCACTGGGCAAGGCTGTATTATAAGATTTGTTTGAGCAATTTTCCTTAATATAATACCTTCTTTACCTCTGTTAATAGCAATTCATATATACATAACCACTGTTATAATTTTATTGCTTGGAACTTGCACGTTCTTTTTGACCTCTTATATGTTTAAGAGTTAAAAACAACCGGCAACCGGAGCTATTTTTTTTTCAAGGAGTATGTGATTGTGCACGTGATGAAGATTTTATTGCATATGCTACACCTGGTGGACTCACAGCATTGGTCAATTGGACAATACCCGAAGTCACGTGTTCTAATTATGAGAGAGGTCCAGTCGATCCACCTGGCGTCACGTCTCCCGCACATTTCTCGCTCGGCAAACACGTCATTACCTATCCATTCTCGTACAAAAGTGATGACAAGATCATTCGCTTTAAATGTTTTGTTAAATTTACCATTACTCGTGAGTATTTATTAGGTTTTTTTACATCCCAAGTACTTTTTCTTCCGTTGTTCTCAGAAAAAAATGGAAAATGCTTAGAAATAAATGGTACAAGTTTCAAAAATTGATCCCACAGAAAATCTTTTGATCATGAAAATTCCAGGCAAAATCAATAAATAATTATAAGTCCACATTTATACAACTCGGGAAAATATTTGGTATGATTTTTATTCTACTTGACTTGCCTCTTGTCTTGACTAGTCTCATAGGAAGTATGTACCCTTATGCATTTTTGAATTTCCGCATGAAGAACTTTTAAATTTTTTATTTAGCCTGTGAATGTCCATGCCAAAAAAACAATGGAAGCATTTGTCAAAGCTCGGGGAAATCTCTTTTTTAATTGGCTAGAACCTAAACCCAATTGCCCAAACACTCCAAGTTCAAGCAATCCAAACGAAACCAGTGGGTGGTTCTCTCATGGAAATTACACACTGAATTACAATTACACGCACAAAAGCAAACATCAATCATTTGGTATTCAATGTCTTGTAAGAGTGGTAGTCAAAGGTATGTTGGCTGTTTTATATTCTAGCGTTTTGATACGTACATGATGGACAAATAAGATAGAATAGGTTTTATATTTAACAATTATACCACGAGGTCGAGTCGTATATGAGCCGATAGTCGACGAGATGCTATTGATATATGTTTTCATGAACAAAAAGCTGCTTTTTCTTTGATTTACTAACCTCTATATAAGACTCGGAGACCTGAACTTTCAAGTTTTGTTCCAGGTTTTAAAATATTGGCAGGTAAACGCCTGACGAAGCTATCGCTAGCTAGCTAGGCCCTAAAGAACTTATAGCCACTTTTAGACGAATAATATCAGCAAAAGCCTAGCGAAATATTTTTTTCGTGTAAGCAAGCTTTTTACTTTTTGCTGTTGTTCCTATAATTTTCTGCCGCAATTAATTTCTATATATAACAAATCCTCCAACTTATCCAATTTTTTGGGCAAATGCAAAACTAGATAATAAACATCTAATAACGAAGTGTTCTTATTCCACAGAATTCCTAAGTACATGCTCAATATTACAAGAAAAAAATCAAACAGCCGATAGCGGCATGTATCGTATAACTTCCATGCACGGACACTCAGCTATGATATTTTGTAATATGACGTCAAAGAATGGTGTTGGTGCGACAGAGATTGGACATGACAGGGAATCAAGAACACTTGTAGATGGATATGAACAGCCAGGGTCTTATAAGAGAAAGATTAAATACGACATTTCCATGGAGCAGATTGCCGCGATTATCAACCAGTCCAACAATTGTGAGCAATTTATTAAATATGAATGTTTTAATAGTGGGTTGTTGAAAAATTCCTATGGTTGGTGGGTATCACGTCGGGGCTCAAAGATGAATTACTGGGGTGGAGCGGCAGTCGACAGTGGAAAGTGTTCATGTGGAATGAACAACAGCTGTGCAGGAAGAAAATGTAATTGTGACAAGAATGATCAAGTATGGCGTGAAGACAGTGGATACCTGACAGACAAGAATACGCTGCCTGTTACTGAACTGAGATTTGGCGATACAACACGTACATATAAAGGGATAGATGAGCTCGGTTATCATACACTGGGGAAATTACGTTGCTGGGGATAAGAAATGGAAATCACATAAACCTGATGATGTAATTAATATGATCTTCTGACTTGATTAATCTAACTTTCATTATCTTCAATTTTTTAAACAAGACAAATAAAAACTAGTCTTTATTCAATAAACCTAGAACTGCATGCTTTATTATAAAAAAATCAGTATAAAGTTGTGTATGGCGATCGTCCACAATGCAATGCATGAACATGCACTTGTGAGCAAACACTAATCAACTTCTTAATTTAGTTGTGAGAAAACAAAACATAGTCATCTACGTTGCATTATAGTCGGCCATCTGAGCGCCTTTGAGCTTCAGAAATTCTTTAAACACTAAACCAGGGAGTAAAAAGTAGTTCCCGTTTATTGTAGTTAAGCGTAGTTAAAATTATTCATTCTCAAAGGCATATAGTGCATCATGACTTTTCAAAACATAGTTCAAAATAACGTCTTGAAATTTTGACAAGTTTGAAACATTGAAAACATCACGTAGCTAGCTACCAGTTGTTATGCATTAGTTAATCGTCGTCCCACTGGACGACTTGCGCTTTAGACTAATTTTTGATCGAAGTAACTAGAAAAAAAGAAATCATCACAGCTATAGAAAGATCTTACTTAAGTTAGTGCAAATGCAAAGTTTGGCTGTGAAATTTTGTAAGATACGGAAACTATAGCCATGCGAAGTTGGCAAATTTTGTATACTTTTGTATTACGTGCAAAAATGTGTAACTAAATGAGTTACACACTTTTGGCCGTAATACAAAAGTATACAAAATTCGTCAACTTCGCATGGCTATATTTTTCGTAATTTACAACAATTTTAGTAAGCTCTTTCACAAAATGTCCTTTTTATCGCGGAGGTGTGAATTTAGTCTAAAGCGCAAGTCGTCCATTTTACAAAGTCACAAATTGTAATAATTACATTGACTGAGGTGAGCCTCACAGTTGCATGCTTTGCATGTATAAGTGTGGAAATTTCAGTTGGGTAAAATGTTCTGTTTGAGTTTATAATTCAAGTGTGTTGGAGTAATGCGCATTTTTTTGTCATTTAATCAGTGCTCGAGATGAAAATGCATGTTATGTGACTCTACTTACAACGCATTTTGCATATTTACATTAATGACAAATTATAAAGCCTGGTTTTCATATGTCATAATTTTTCGGCGATGGCTATTGTCGGTGGTCATTGATGCCTAAAATCCTTTGTTTATTGAAGAAAATTAGATACTTTATTGATCACCGACAATAGATCGTAGACCATCACCGAAGAATTACGACATGATGAAAACCAGGCTTAAAGATCAGGGACCGGCTGTATGAAAGCCGGATATCGCTATCCACCGGATAGTGATTTTTTTTAACGTTTCTGAAATTGCTTGGGAATCAATAAAATTTTAGCTCTGGAAGCAACAGTTATCGAAGGAAATTCTCAATTTAGGAATACTAAGGTTTAATCAAAGTTTCAGCCAACAACAGGGGATTTTAGAGCGATTGAAAAATCCACTAACAGGGGCCGGTTGTATGAAAGCCAGATAGCGCTATCCACCGGATAGTGATTTTTTCGACCGTTCTAAAAATGCTTGAAAAGCGATAAAATTTCATTTTTGGAACCAGCAATTATTTAAAGAGGATCCTTGATTTAAGAATACTAAGATTTAATCAAAGTTATAGCAAACAATGGGCGATTTTAAAGCGATTGAAAAAAACACTATCCGGTGGATAGACGCTATCTGGCTTTCATACAACCAGCCCCAGGTGAATAGCGCTATCCGGCTTTCATACAACCGGCCCCTGTTTGAGAAAAACAACTCGCGACCATTTTGAAAGGTCCGCTTAAGTGCATGTTTACTGCTTTTAAATAATCCGAAGTTGCTGGAACATAGCAATTGTCAACTGTGATCTATTTGCAATTGTCAACTGTGATTTAGCTATCATGGCGGATAATTCAGCTGTCCCAAACAACTCAAATTTACTTGAATACTGTGGCTTATTAGATAGCGGTTCTGATCAGCCATTTATGGAATATTGTACCATATAGAGGGTTATAAACATCAATGGCTTGCTTACTTTGAAGAACTGAAGGTATTTGTTGAAATTCTTTCGCTATCTGATAAACGAACGTCGCCTGCCGGCTCTACTAAACAATTCGACAATTCGACAATTCGACTGGTAATATTATTATTAAACTTCATCAGAAAACATTAAGTCTGAAGGTACAGGGAAGCGATTGCGAAAATATTAGGAATAAACTGGTAAAAGCAATGGAAAGTCGCAAGCAATTACAAGGGTCGTTCGATAATACGGTCGATGTTCAAACGCAGAATGGAGCCGAAGTGCAAGATGCAGTCAGTGATGCATCCAACACCGTAGGTAATTGTGGTCAAACGACATGTATATGTCCGGGACGTGAAATTTTAATGGAACTTGAAGGTATGAAGCTTGAAATGGCTATTTTACAACGCTTAAATCTGTCAACGAAGTTGTTCGAATGAATACCGAACACCAATCGGTACTTCAAGATTTAAATCTTAAATGTGCGGCTCTCAAACAAAGAGCGATGAAAGGTGAAGAGGAAAGACATTCATCACGGTTGGCATTAAAAATCGTAATTCAGGTAATAGAAAGAGATAAAGATCCTAATTCCTTGCATGTATATGACCGTACTAGCCATTTTGTTAACACAGGACAAGGAACCAAAACTAATGCAATGCAAATTGATTTAACAACCGATGATGCTCATCATTCAGGCCCTGTGCGCCTCATTGGCGCAATAAGCCTAGATGATAATGATGATGATGATGTTCATCATTGTCAAGAAAGGGTAAATAACAAGGAAGTTAATCCTGTCACTCAAATTAGACAAAAATGCGTAAATCCACGTGCTCAAACGCCAACATACGTACCCCCATCTGGCCAAATGGCTTGTCAATCATATAGACATTATAATGTTTCCAACAGTAGTGGCATTATACACATACACAATAATGTTCGACCAGGTATAATGCCCGTTTAACATGATCGCGAGTATAGTGCTCACGAACGGCAATTAACTTGACCTAGTAAACAAAAACGTAAACAACACTAATGCCTCTGACGACTTGAGTCGACTAAATCAGCAAACCAGTCCATTACTTAATAACAACAGTGAGAATACACAAGGCTCCCATACATCTAGTTCGCCTTAAGTGCAGGACCAATCGAATAGAATTAAAAATAGAAATCAGGCGTCCCCTCGTTCTAAGATCTCTATTCTTGTGGACTCTATGATTAAGCGAATACAGTCAAGACAAATTCGACAGGCTATGACTACTAGTAAATCTGTTTACATTCGCTATTGGTAACCTGTGTGATCTAATCAGAGGAAACTGTCCACACACATCTATATTTCTTTATCCGAGCTAACAGTCCGCAATGACTTTCCCAATGCAAATTCCAAAATTCGCGAAATCAATAAGGAACTATTAACAGTTAGCAAAATGAAAGGATGTCACCTGATTAATAACTCCAACATAATTTAAAATAACTTGATAAATAGGGCCTTCATTTAAATGATGCCGGTGTATAGCAACTCTGACTAACAATTTTTTAGCCAGTGGCAGAATGCTCTAATATAGAAATGGATGTAAAGTTGTTGATAAGGAAGATGTTGATAACAAACAAACAGGAGAAGATCCTCACAGTCACGAGTCACGACAATGTCCACATGACCAAAAAAATACAGAAGAAAGTAAAAACATCCAAATATAGATTTACAAAAGAAACGCGACTTTAGATACAGAATAAAATCACTATTATGTGAAGTGCAAAGTTCAAGCAAATAACTTCTTCAAGTCTTTTCCATTCCAGTAGCTAATAATAATGATTATGAATTCAATGACAATGTTATAAACGCCCAGCAACAACTGACGTTGTGGTACGAAGTTTCAGGAAAATCCTGTTTCCTCCGGGTAAACTTTAACTTATATATCTACTGGATAGCTGTCTACTCCATTATCCATGCTTTGTGCGACGCGTTTTTATCCAATGGATAACTATCCAAGCAATTTATCCCATGGATAGGACTTATCCGTTCGATAAGTTATCCATCTTTCAAACAACCGGCCCAAGAAGATTATATTAATCACATCAGGTTCGATGTTCCATCTCTTATCGCCAGCAACGTAATTTACTAGTGTATCATAAACACGCTCATCAAAATCTGATCATAATCTTTACCAGAATCGCCAAATCTCAGTTCAGAAACAGACAGCGTGTCCTTGCCTGTGGTATCCTTGTTTTCACGTTCATACTAGCTGCTTCATACTCCTTTCAGATTCGTCTCATCGTCTGGAAAGGAACTCTAGCTCTTATTCATTTAAAGCCATACCGAATTACCAATAATAAGTATTGTGTTCAATATGCCGTTTTTCAGACAATCAGTATTGTAATAAATGTAAACAACTCTTTAACATTGTAATAAACAGACTACAATATGGCAGCCATATTGGAATTAGAGCGGAAGACCTGGGCACGCTACAGGAGCCCAGAACATGCTTCCTTTTTAAATAGCAACAAAAAAAAATGTCAAGAGCTCGATATAAAATGTACATCAATGTCCGTGTGCGTGGACGTTCCGATGCACAATGTTTTATAGCGCAGGAAAAGTGTTCTCTACAGACAGAAAATATATTTATTAGTCCAAACAACGGGCAGGGCATAGGATTACACGACGACTGCGAGTTATTGTGGAAGTAAAAGACACGTATGGGGTGGGTTGCTGGGTGGAGGGGGGAGTGGATTTAAATCACTGGTAGATGGTGTTGCTGGTGGGGTGTGTGGTTCTGTGGTTGTCGGTATTGTGTACTCGGGACTAGATGACAAATGTTTCCCCAAGATTGTGTTGTATTGTATTTGTTTTAAAGACCAATAAGAAGACCTAATGGGTTATTTTATTTCGTGACGAGATGCCATCGCTTTTTGTAAAACAAGCATTTGCAAAGAATTATAGTTTTCTTTCGGAGTTATGCGCT